CCAGCCTGCCCATCAAAAGACATGCTAGGAGGACTCCCAACTTGCCTCCTATATTCTGCTACTTCATAAGGAGTTTTGCATGGAGTACCAAGACTCATCAAAACTGCATTTATGTAAGAGTCATTCTGGGTGAAAACTTAAATGCTTAAGAATTTCCCACCTGCTTAAATTAATTCCTCATGTCGTCCTGGCCTACATGGGCAAAAGGCTAAAGCTGTCCTTCTCTCTTGCATATTTCACCAACTGTAATCTTATGCGGGGGTTAGGGCACACATTACTATTCCTGTTTTATAAATAGGGAAACCAAGACCCAGAGAATTTGAGTCATTTCCCAAGACTATACCCTGGCCTCCTGATATCAGCCCAAAGAGCTTTGCAGTAAAGAACAGTATTTGCCTTGACAATTCATTCATTAATTCAGAAATATTTATTGAGTGCCCATTATGTGCCTCATAATGTGCATCGTAATACCTATTATGTGCCAGGCTGTGATCTTGGTGCATGAATGAATGTCCCTACCCTCGTGGAGATTACATTTTAGCAGGAGAGCCTAGCAATAAATAAGTAAACAAGCAAATGTCACATAGCTTGAAGCTCCTTGAAGAAAAATAAAATAAAGTCATAGAGTGTAACAGGGCCAGGGAGAGGGCACTTATTTTAGATAGGGCAGTCACGGAAGTCCTCTCTGAGGGAAGAGGCAGAAGGAACAATAAGTGCAAAGAGCCTAAGAGGAGAGCACGCTTGGCAAGCTTAAGAAATAACAAAGAGGCCAGTGTGGCTGAAGCCTTAGGCACATCTTTTCACACACTGTCCCCTGCTCTCCTCCCCCTGCCCAGGCTTCTCTTGTACCTTATTTTTTACCTTTATGTTAAGGGGCCCGTTACCTCCTATGTCAGCTTCCCTAAAGCAGCCCCTTTTGCTGGCCCGCTGACTTCTCCACCTTCTTTTGATCAGAAAAGAGCCTAAGAACACTAGTTGGCTGTCATTGACCTTGCCCAGTTTCCACTTGGGAAAAACAATAATATAAGCAAAGCATAAAGATCTGAGCCCAAGAGATTCAATAACTTTGACGTATTTCCTTTGAAGTTTTTATAATAAACGTATTTAGCATGGCCTGAGAGTTGCCATACACATGGTTTGACCATTTAAAAATATAAATAATGACAATCCTCTAACACCAGCCTCAGCATAATCTTTCTTCACTGATCCAGAGGACACTTCAAAAGTTTGCAGTGTATCATTAGGTACCAAAATTACTACCAAGCTTTTCCCCTCATTTTGTTTCTGTCTAGAACCTATTGTGCAGAGTTGGTCTTTTCATAGCTGTTTTTATCCTGCTGACAAAAAGTGATTGAGCTAAGTACTTCCTTGGAAATGCCCCGTGAGTACTGAAAGAAATCGACTGAAGAAAGGCATATAATAATAATAACGATAGCTTACGTTTACTATGTGTCAGGTCCAGTGCAAACTTTTTCCCTGCATTATGGCCTTTAATCCTCATGATCCTATGAAGTAGGTAGTAATATTATACCCATTTCATGGACCAGAAAACTGAGGGACTGAGAGGTAAACTTGCCGAGGTCATAAGCCTAGCATTGGACAAGCACAGTTTGAAGTCTCAGTTCTGCCTGACTCTGGAGCCCCGGAGCAAAGATGAAGATGCATCTGATTCAAAATGAGGTGTTACACTAAGACATGCCTAGGTAAAGGGCAAAGTTGAATCATAACAAGGGTGCTTTCCCTCCATGCTCTTTACGACTATTGTCAGCCCTAGCTTTTATCAAGAAGGGTCCTATTTCTGAAACCCCTTGCCCCCACACAGCTCTTCTAAAGGAAGTTAAATAAGCAGATCCAGAGCGTCAGTTTCACTCACAAACTTCTCCCTCTCAGCATCCTAACTTAACCGGCATTGCATTCTTAGAGTAATGGATTAGTTTCTTAGTCTTCTTCCTCTCCCTGAATTTCATGGTCTTCCTTTCGGATGACACCTCCAAATCGATTTAAGGAGATCTAGGGAAAGGCCTCTCAATTCTCTCAGGAGCTGGTGGCCCCAAATCTGGCCAGTCCACCATCCCAGGATTCCACCTCGCTGGCTTCTAATGGAGATCAGAATGGAAGATGGGAGTCTGGGTCTTTCCCGGAGTAGAGGTAGATTCTAGGCTGCGTTTCCGTACCCAAAAGGGCATTCTCTGCAGCTGCCCTAAAAAGCCCCGGTGAGGCCCTTCTGGAAAGCGGGAGGCCCGGGGAGTGAAATCCCCAGTGAGGGGCCTAGGCCAAAGCATGATCCACCACAGCCTTGGGCTGGACCTGAGGCTGTCTGGTGGGCAGTGAAGGAGGCCTTGACAAAGCTCCTGCTGCCCTTGCATTGCCTATCGAGGCCTCCAGCCCCCACCGTCCGTGCCTACTGCCCATGCCCTCCGTCCGTGCCCACTGCCCATGCCCTCCACAGGCCCCAGGCCCAGCCACCGCAGCGACGTACTCACAGTACACACAGGCAGTACACGCCCGGGACACTCTCGCTGTCCCTCAGCAAATAACTGCCATCCAGACCTGTGGCGAGCAGGAGCTTCTCCCCCGTCTCCCGGCTGATTTTGCCATGATACACAGTCACCGCATCCATGGCTTGGTGGACTCTTGGGCGGGCCGAGGCGTGGGACGGATGAAGGGACGGCAACCAGGCACGAGTCAGCCACCTGACTCCCAGTTCAGCCAGATGTGCAAAAAAGAGAGAGGAGTGCCCTAACAACAGGATGTTGTCTACCTGCCTTAAAACCTCCTTCTCACACTTCAATTAAAACCACCTCAGCAATTCAGCAGCTTGGTTATTGCCACAGGGTTCCATCCCCCCTCCCCACCCCACTCCCCCTCCCCAACACAGGGTTCATAAGGAGAGGGGAGGACAACTGGAAGAAGGTCCTTGCAAGATTTGGGCTGCACTACCAATGCAGACCCTCAAACACAGACAGGAATGCTTGGTAATGCTTCTGTTCTTGCATTTTCCAAGGGGCCAAACACCAGGGATGACTTAGCTTAACTACTCCCCAAAGGGATTGATGAGAGAGGCAAGTTGTACATGGCCTTCATGTGGGGCAGAAACATACTGACAGAGAATGAAAGGACCAAAAGTTCTGAGACCAAAACTGAGCAGAGCCAGGAGGCTCCTACAGAATCGGAAGGAGTAGGTGAACAAGGGACTTGGGGCAAGTATCTTCTCTCCCTCCCCAGTCTTCCTCCTCTTTTGCTCTTCCGAGTCTTCTTGAGCAATCTTGATCTTGAACAAATACTGATTTTTCCTACCTTCTTGTCCAAGATCCCAAAGTGCTGATTGAGGTACCAAAATTAGTCTATGTCCAAAGATGTTCCAGACTTATCTATTTGATGAGCTTTGGATGACAGAATGAATCATATAGTGGTGTTTAGCCTTTATGTGGACTTGTATATGCCCTCTGATGTCATAGGGCTCACCTTTCAGCATTTGGAGCATAAAACTTGTTTTAAATCATATTGCATATTACAATGTATACTTGAAATTTATTTAATGTTACAAACCAATGTTACTGCAATAAAAAATAATAAAAATGAATAAAAACCAAAAAAATAAAAAATAGTACAAAAATTCCCATATACCCTTCACCCAGACTCACCAAAGGCTAACATTTTGGTTCATTTGCTTTTCATCTTATCTAGATATACGTATGTTTTTCTCAACCATTTGACAGTTACAAATATAATGTTCCTTTACCCCTAAAAAAATCATATTGCAAGTGTTGATAGTTGTAACTTTTATCCTCTGTTGTTAATAGAGAATATGTTTTTTCTTCAGTTGATGCTAAACTATCATTAATTTTTAAAAAGCTTTCAACCTTCACTTCCCTCTCTGAAATAAAGCCTTGCTTTTATTTCAAAATGTGCTGTGAAGTAATATTTCCCAAAAACTTCCTCCTTTTTCACCAGAATAAGACTTTGTTTAATGCTTGAAGCTGAACGGTCTTATACATTTTTCCTTTTGATTTTGTAAAATACTTTTAAAATCGGAATTTAAATAGCTGAAGTTATGTTGTCTGTTGTATCTCTCCCACAACTTCAGAGCCTAGTTCCCCGAGAACACGGCAAGGCTGGGAGCTCAACAGGAAGAACAACTTTGACGTCCCCACATGTCCTCCAAGTGGATGGGATGCACAGAGCTGCCTTGCACCAGAGCCCGATATTTGCTCTCCCCTGGCTATGGTTAGGAACAATCCTGTAAGATTTCAGTGGCAGCTAGTGGCAACTCTCCTTCTTGATGAAGCATGCCCAGCTTTAGAATCTATCAACCTTAGCAAATAAAAAGTAAACATAAGCCTCCTACAGTCATTTGCAATACCAAAAATAAAGAATAAAGAATAAAACAGCATTCGAGATGATATTTGGGGATGGGCCTGGGGAACTGAACAAAGATTGTCTCATCATCTCCCTACCTCATTTTTTTATGGCCAACTCCACCTCTCATCCTTTTTCACGCTTCAAGTTAAGGAAGAGGTTGACCTGACGAGTAAATGCACACCAATGTTAAGGACGTGAGAAGCTAATCCGCCCTGAACTCCTTATAATTTGAGCAGGCAAACGCTTAACCCAGAGAAATAAATCATGATGGTGGAATTTCAAACACGAAAGGAAAAGCTGGGGAAAGGGATCCCCTCATTCTATCCATATGGACAACAGCCCACCTGTGAGGGAAACTGTGAGAACATTCAGTGTCACATAGGTAAAAACAAAACTCAAGCCTTTTCGGCTCTGAACAACCCTGAACAAATCATCTAGAAACTTAGGAACAGAGCAACCTGGATCTGACAGCAAAAGTGTACCATGCGTTCTTCTTTTCGTTCTCTGTTTTGTTCCGTATTGCTAAAATAGCACACCTGTCAAAGCAGCCAGGTACGATGGGGTTCAGCACAACTAAAATCGCATAATAAAAGAACAGATAAATTATAAGGTAATAGTACAACTCTCACATCCAGTACCTCATTGTCATCTCACAAGCAAGATGACAGCTGAGCCAGCCCACTACTGCAGTGTTGATGAAAAATACTGACATCTTCACTCTAGTGCTACACCGTTACTAAACCTGACTTTAGCAAATTCAAAACTTCACGCTGAGCTTGAAGTGTAGAGAAAGAGGGATTGAAATGGCTCTCTTCCTTCTCTCTCGCCATACCTATAAAAGCAGAAAGGGGAAAAAAATGAAAGAAGGGAGCAATGGAGATAGTGGAGGCACCAACAGAGAAAGAGTTAGGAAGAGTGGGCCCCAAATACGAGTATAATCCACTTAGAAGCAGAATTGTCTGAATGTTTATTGTCTGTCTCCTCCACTAGAACACAGGGTCCATGACATCAGGATTTTGTGTACCTTGTTCACCACTGTATCCTCAATGTCTGGCACATATTAGATGCTAAATATTTTTGTTGAGTGAGCGGATGAATGAATGAAATCAGTGCTCAAGAAAATAGGAGGAAAAAACACACATACACACACACTTATGCGCGCACACACACAAATTTGGTTCTACATGCCTCTGGCCCGCCTTTGAAATGGCAAGATGAATTGGAATGAGGACTAGTCCAGCAATTATGAGAGTCAAATTACACTTCATATTTTGCCACTAAATCACTCCCTCTCTCTGAGCCTCATTTTCTCCATCTGTCAAATGGAGTTGAACCAGATGACCCCTAAGGCCACTTCCAGCTTTAACATTCTGTGCTTTAAACAAAAGCCAAGCTTACTTTAGAGAGAAACAGAGGGGAAATGGACTGAGCTCATTTGTGTGCAAGAAGCAAGAGCTGTTTTCTCAATAAAGAGTTTTGCTCTTGTTCTTGTTTTTATACAACCTAAGAAATAAAAATCATGAGGTGGAGGAAGAGAGCTTCACAGGTTAAAGCAAACTACAACCTTCTAGAATATAGATGCCGTTTAAATCAAATATAAAAGCATTGACAAGCTGTCAGCCAAGGTTGAAAGTGTTTTCTTATCTAAACTTGTCACCTCCTGAGGGCTCTGAGAGGTGACAGAACTTTACATGTGGATGCTCTGTCTGAGGTGCTAATTGTCTTCATTTCAAATGCCCTAGGCTATTCTCAGACCCAAGTAGATTAAAAGGATGGTGCCAAGTGTGGTCAGTTTTATAGAGTGGATCTGACATTTCAAAATCTTTTTCTCTAACCTTTCAAAACTAACTTTGTTCTTCAACTAGCTCATCTATAGGTGTGAATTCTCCTGCGACAGTGTTATGATATTGTCACCTGTGGTGAGTTTACACATTCTCTTGGCACTTACTAAAATTCACTTCCTTTATAAAAATGAGAAACGAAAAAAAATGTCTTAAAAAAAGAGCACCTCCTGTTGATAATATCTGGGTGTATCTACAAGGCTAATTTTTCTAATGCTCTTTCGTAAGTGAGAAGCCAGAGTGAGGGTTGTTGTGTGTGTTTATTTAAGCCTATTTTAATATGCTTGCTCTGTCAACCAATATTTATGAGCATCTACTGTGTGACAGACACTGTAGTAGGTACTTAGGTTGGAGAAAAGAAAAGCACATACCTGCCTTGAAGTAGCTCATAGTCTAGTGAAGAAGATAGACAAGCAAATGGACAATTACAACTCACTTATTAAGAGCTGTGATAGAGGAAAGGATGGGGTTCTAGGGGCACAGTAGAGGGACATCTAATTCAATTTATATTCTAAACCTGCACCATCTGCTCCAGACAGCAAGTTCTTTATCTTTCTGTCTGCCATGTACAGTTCCTTTTACTTGTCCTAATTTCACCTCCTTCCTGACTCAGAGGATGCGCCCTAATTCTAGCCGAAGCTCTGCCTGCTTCTAAGGTTTTATTCTTGGAATAACAGCTAATATTTGTTAACCGCATACTACATTCCAGACGTTCCTGCTAAGCACTTTGCGTGTTTTATCTCATTTATGTATATCAATAACCCTATGTAGCAAATACTATATTATCCTCATTTTACCAATGGGAAAGCCAAAACTCAGAGAGCCTGGGTAGCCTGCTCAAGGTGGCACAACTGGTCAGTGTCAGGCCCAGGATTTAAACACAGGCCACTGACTTCAGAGCCTGTGCATTTCACCGCTGTTCTCTTCTGCCACCCAATGTTAATTCTGAGGTCACTGCACTGCATTGGTCAGGCTTCAGTCTCCTAGTTAGCAACTGTAATTTTGACTTCTAGAATATTCTTCTTACACTTCTCAAGTATCAAATGTTCCCATGCCCTGACTTGTAGCATGTCTATATCTATATGCCTTATGAGATCAGATACACTATTTTAGCCTGGATCTCATTGGTTAGGATGTCTTGGAAGGCTCTTACAGAGTTGAGGTCTATTTTCCCAGGCTTACAGGTCTGTAATCTAGATCATCAGCTAGCTTATCCATCCAAAGTAATAGAACACTGAGTAGTTTATTTTTTTTTTAGGTGGTCTGGGCATCTTCTATACTGGGCAGACTTGGATACACAAGTAAGGTCTTATCGCCCAATTCTCCTTTTTCCCCTTTTTCTAGACCAAATAAAGGCCACTTTTCTCCAGTTTTACTTACCTTTCCCTGTGAATATAAAATGAAATGACATATGTGATATGCCTGGAACCCAAGAGACACTCAAAGTTTCTTTTTCCTACTAGCTGTGAACTCCTGGAAGACAGGGATGACGTCGTATTCCTCTTTGCACATCCAGGTCCAAACACACTACCTGCACCTAGTTAGCTCCCTTGCTTTCCCCCTCCTCTTTTCCTTTGTAGAGAGAACTCTCTGCAGAGAGTGTGGCCTCTTATTCACTTCACGGAGTATATCATTTCTGACATTGACTTCGTTCAAATTCATCGTTTACCAACGCCTAGCCTGTGGTCTGCCTCATTTTGGTTTATAGAAACAACTCTTCAGGGCCGGCCCCATGGTCAAGTCGTTAAGTTCGCACGCTCTGCTGCAGCAGCCCAGGGTTTCGCCAGTTCGGACCCTGGGCACGGACATGGCACTGCTCGTCAGGCCACATTGAGGCAGCGTCCCACATGCCACAACTAGAAGGACCTGCAACTAAGATATACAACTATATACCGGGGGATTTGGTGAGATAAAGCAGAAAAAAAAAAAAAAAAAGATTGGCAACAGTTGTTAGCTCAGGTGCCAATCATTAAAAAAAAAAAAAAGAAACAACTCTTCACATCCCACACCTCAAGCACCTGACAGACAAATAAATCATCGTGTAGCTCTTTTGGTCTCATCAACCCAGTCGGCTTTGGATGGTGACCGAATCTTCTTTCTACCTCCCTTCATCCTGGTTGGAGGCACTCGGTATGAGATCAGTACAAGAAAATATCAGTTCTTTGTAAAAGAGGCTCCAGCTCTCCTTTAAAAACTCTTTTCTCTGTCTTGGAAGCTCAAAAATAACGTTCCACTACTGGAGCTTAAACTAAAAGATTAAAGTCCAAGAGACTGTTGTCTTGTCGATACATTTTTTTTTCTGCCTGAACATTTTTTAAGAAACCTCTGATGTTTTGAAACATGGATGACCACTTTGATCTGTATACCACAAACACCAAAATTTGGCAAAGGAATGGAATGAAATGGATTATATAAACGTTTCCCTAAGCAGATTTGTAAATACAAATGAAATATTATAACCCGGCAAACAAAACAGCTAATGGTGCATTTCGGAATACATTTTGTAGGTACAGATGCAGCATTGGCATTATTTTTCTTTTCCTTCTCAGTAATAAATATTTCATGAAAAAAATGCTGGAAACGTTGATCAGAGGGGAGTTCAATAGTATGAGTCTTTTACAAAGCAGGTCATATATGTTCTGAAGTTTCAAAACTGTCTAGACAATATCAGGAATTGTAGTGGTAAAGGCTTGACCTTTTCAATACTTGCTCAGTCCTTTTCTTTCCTGGAACCAATATGGCTCACTAAAATGATCAAAGTAAATATATATCAAGCAAAAAAGAAATGAGATTAAATATCCTAAAACTTTTACTTACAGACAAAACCTTCAGAGAGCTCTTTGTCATCGTTTTATAAACACTGGGGTATGGTTTAATGCTGCCTACCACAAAAGTAAGCACAGGTTTCTGCCTTGTGTGTAATTATTTTTGTAATGTAGTGCAGAATGAAAAATAAAACCTAAAATAGTAGGTATAAACATAAAAAAACAAAAAGCTGGAGAATGTCACAAGTGAAGCTGTAATACTGCATATTATTTTGAAGTAAAACAAAGTCAACTTTCCTAGCAACTTTTTCGTCAACTGGGGGCACAATTTGAAACCATCTGGCTATCATGGAACCTTTGCAACCCAAAATGGTACATACTGAACTTGGATTCCTCTAAAATCCTTCAGCACTTACTGGTATTTCACACGTATTAAAACTACTAGCTTTCTACAAAAATTGTTCCCAACTTGTGTTCCCCAAATTCATAAAAGACTAAGAAGGTAGTAATGATAGATTCTGAGATATTGTCAGTATTACAAAGAGCCTAGTAAAATGGCCCATTTGTCTGTGACTAGGCTGCATGTAATAATGATAATATTCATTGAATCCTCACAAAAATCCTAAACTTAACTGCAAGTGACTGTTTTTCTTTGAATTGTATCAACTTTGTGTGAGGAAACTTTATAAATATATAGGCTTTCTTAATTTTAAAGGAGAAAATAATCATTTCTTAAATAATGCTGTTTGATACACAGAATCTTTTGAAAACTGACATCTACAGGCCAGAAAATATGATGAAACAATTGATGAAAAGGCTGATAACTAGTGTTTGGTGCATATTTGTCTTATTTCTTCTAACAGAACAGGAGATCATCAAGGGCAGTAATGATCACTTCCACAGAGTCTAACACAGTACCCAGCACATAGGAAGCCTTCCCTACATGTGTGCTCTTTGCTTATCTGTAGAGTAATAAAAAGCTAGAGATTCCTATTGGCATTTCTTACCTCTAAAATTAACACTAGGGAGGATATGATGCTTTTCTACAATTGCTCTATGCCCCAGAGAAATTGGGCTAGATGGGCCAGGATCTGACCTACTGGAGGGATTCTCTTAGGTCCGTTGAACAGAATGCTTGCAACAGCAAACCAAATAGTCCTGAACACTTGTCTTAAGTGCCAAAGAACAAACATAGTCAATGAGAAAAACTGTTCAACGGCAATCTCATATAGTCATAGGCCAGGGCTGTTTAGCATCCTTAAGTTTATGCGAGGCTTAGTGCCAGTGGATGTACTCACTCTATCGTGTGCTGGAAGAGAGGAAACCGCTCAAGAGTGCTACGCACAGTACCTACACCACATAATACGAATCTGCTACTATTCACTGTTGAGGCTTTACAAAGTAAGTGATAAGGAAATTATGCATTTCTTTGCCACTCTGTCATAGATTTAGTACCATGATTTAAAAAAACACCAATTCCATTCTCCATTTTGCAACATGAATCTAAACCTTTTAAAGTCTCCTTTCCCCCTACTTCCTTGCTGAAAAGTATATATGCATATATATTGTACTGTTACAGCTGGCACCTTATTCACTTAAAACGAAAACCAAGCAATTCAGACAGACTTTAGATAAGCAGTCAAGATGGATTCTCTCTTAATAGTATTAAACTCGGCTTATGAACTTTCCATGAGACCAGTCTACTGAGTCAAATACAAGTCACTCCCACTGCCTAAATTACCATCCTTTTTTTTTTGCAGTCCCGAGATAATAAACGGTCCTAATCACTGGCCGCGTAGCTGGCCACATATTCCAAAGCTTGGGAGGTTCTAAAAGAGCAGCTCCATGACCACCAGCCTGCCACTAGGCCTCAAAGTATCTCCGTTACAGTCATTTCATTGGGTTTAGGCAAAAATGATCCATGTTCACAGGCAAATATACTACTTGGTAAGGGGAAAAGTGCTAAGGCACTGTGATGTAATGGAATGAACACAGACGTTAGAACCAGTGAAATTTTATTTTGAAGCCAGGCTTCATCAATTCTCAAATTTGGGTATTGAGTTAGCACATCTGTAAAATGTGAGTAATAATACTGTGAAGAATTATTAATATGGGTACCTATTATATCTTACAGTCACCAAAAAGGTAATGTGCTTAGAGTACCTGGCACATAGTAGGCACTCAATGGTAGTTCTTACCATCATTAATAATCCCTTATACTCATTACCACAACATCCAGAGCAGAACCCTGAGGGTAGAGAAAGGGAACCACTGAGTGGGGCTCTGAGAAGGTCAGTAACTTGTTCAAGGTCACACAGCTAGTGAATAGCAGAGCGAGTAACTGAATTCAGGTCTCTCTAACTCCAAAGCCCAGGTTCCTGCCTCAGAAACCCACTGCCTTTTCTTGTGTGTAACCAGACCAGAAGAAAGTAGTGATTTGACAACCTCAACGATTCAGGTTGCTTTGGAAAAAGTCAGCCCTGAAAGACTGTAATCATATTAAACTATATAAAAGCTACGCACAAGATGAGTCTGCTTTTGTGCAGAGCTAAAGGCATGCCAATGAACAGCAGAATCCATTTGAAACCATAAATGAAGCAACTGTAGTGAGATATAGAATGCCCTGCTGGTACATCAAAATGGATTATGCTAGAAAATTCCCAACTCTCATCTGTGTCTCATCTTTGCAAAATTCCAGGGAGCTATCAGCACACTCAAAAGTATCACAAATCCAGCCTCTGACTCAGAAAACCTAGCTTTGGGTTGACGTCTCTAATGGTCCCCTTCTTCCCCAGAGCCCTCCCAAGTAACCGAGGCCTCCTGGTAGTCAGGACTCTGAGGGAAGAAAGCTGGTGGGGCAGGATCACTCTGTTCTCTGACCCATCCCTGTCCCTATACCAAAAAGGTAGCCAGACTCCACCCCTCTTTGCTTCAGGGAACATTTATTTTGTTAGCAGACCATCTAAGCTTGGCTGTTTTCCAGAATCCTGATCTCCTTGATGGGATTATGCATAGGAGGCAGGGGACAGTTATTAGAAACAGGAGGGAAATTTCCGCTCAGAGAGACAGGGCCTCAGGAAAATGGATTCTTGGTGCACATATGGAGGCCAGACCCCAGGCATTAGGGCTCCCAGCCTGAACAGAAGTCCCCTCCCCACCTCACCTCTCATGCCCCATGGGCCCAGGAGAAGCAGAGATGCCCACCTTCAAGGGACCATGTGGACTTGGACAGTGAGGGGAGCAGGGACAATCACAAGGAACTGAAGACCCCATAGAAGCCCCTCCCCTCCCATTCTTGGGTAACCCACAGGAAGAGGGGGGGCCCTTCAATAGTGAATGAGATTGAACTTTCCTTGACCTCAGTGGGATAAAAGGGAGATGCAGATTTAAGCTGCCACCTCTGAGCAAACCTGCCCTGAGAGACACACTACACAAGACACAGCAGGCAAGTGCACACTCTTTATTACTAGTTAGAATCAGAAAACTCCTGACAAAGGTTGAGCTTGGTGAGCCGGGATCTCATGGGGTAACTCAGGACACCTTTTGTTCAGACTGCCAAGCCCCTGGGCTTCACCTGCCTCGGGGGAGCCCACAGAGAACACACCAAGTGCAAGAGAAGGGGCCCAGGGGCGTTCTCAAGAGTGCCTGTCCCAGTCCAGTTCTGCTTTTAATCCAGTTAGTCCTCCCAAGAGAAGCACCATCCACAGCACGATGTCAGTCCCAGGAATCCATTTCATTCTTCATCCACTCTTGACTGGAAAGGACCTTGGGATGGTGGTGACCTGAGCCTGAAGGCTCGAGTGTGTAGCCAACACTCCCCCAGGCACTGTCCTTTAAGAGAGTCATCCAGTGGTCTTTCAGACAGCAAGGAAAATAGCTGTCCCTCTCAAGGGAGGAAATCAGCAGAGTGTCAGAAAACTCCTGCCTGCACTTTCCTGAGGCTACTTTCTCAATATTTGCCACTGCTCATTTGTCCCCCCTGGGACCAATGACATGAGCAGTTCTGTCACTCAAGTCTTTTGATAAAAGTCTTTGATGTTGCCCCCTGGAACTGCAAAAATAAGTGGATGTTATTTCAGTTGGGTTTACCCAAAGGCCACACTGCATGCAAGGCAAAGAAGTCATTCCTGATATAATTTGTATCGCAAATTAGGCTCTCTCCTGTCATCTAACCAAACTCACCAAATGAGGTTATAATGTGTGCACCAGATATTAATATATAAGTCTAGCTCCTAACACATACTAGACAATAACTATTTTTTTAATGAATTAAATGAAATCCATCAAATTTACTATCATCTATAGAATTTAGCAATGCAAACTCCCAACTCTTATGAATTAATTCCTTGTCCCAACAGAGAAACTAAAATCTAACAAAATTCTTTTGCCCTCCTTTTCCCCCTAATGGGTGCCAAAGCATCTCTTCTTCCCTGACTTCTCACTCTTCTCGGCTCCAGCCAGTCAGGGTCTCACTGCAGCACAGGTCGGTCAGAATCGAGGTGTGATTTCTTTAGGCTGTTGGGACATCTTCTAATGGGTCAGGTTCAGCTTCTTCAGCAACAAACTAGTTCTGCGGGGCTCAGAAACACAAAAACAGGCCCTCACCTATAGAACTGAAACGAAACAAAAAGAAGCACACATGAACACTGTAGTTTACAGAGGAACAATAGCATTTTCAAGGAAAAGTCGTGCATCTAAAATCCAATAAAGCTTATAACTAAAAACACATGGCTGTTCCCAGCCAAAGACACGGCATTTTCAGGAAAAAGAGGTTAATGAGAAAACAGAAAAGAATGGAAAAGAAAAAAGAGAGTCTTCATCACTTCAGCTTCTCCAGGGTGTCAACCAACCAGCATCAGTCATCCAGAATCCGCCACCTGTGAACCTAAGTGCAGTTAGGAGAAATCCCTATTTAAAAAGTGTGATACTTACAAGTAGTCTATCTTTGTTAAAATAAATGTATAAGAATATATATACATATATTTGTGTGTACTCAGAATGATAAAAAGTAGTTAATCTGGGTAATAGGATAATGGATTTTTTAACTTTTTATATCATAATTTTGATTTTCAAATTTTCTGTGAAGTAAACGAGTTACTTTTTTATCAGAAGCGTGGTCTCAGAAAACTGGTTTTTCTTTGGAGTGTTTCCATTCTTACCCACCTTCCTGAAATCAGTGAGTCTGTCCTGGGTCCAGGCCTTCACTCTCAACTGCCACACGAACTTTCTTGCATTTGTAGCAGGCCTTGCGCCAGGAAAAATTCTTCGCTTTACAACACGGGCAGTCCCAATTTACTGAACTGCAGCCTGAGGCCGACTTCTCCTGGTGCTGGGATTTGGAGGCTTTTTTCCCTTTTGGCTGCTTGGCCTTCTGCCCCTGAGCCGGCCGTTTCTTTGGGTTTTCTCTCTTGCCACTGCTCCAGCTGTCCCCCAGGGGGGTCGCCTGAGGCCTCTGTGGGCCTTCTTCCTGCCTGTGGCTCCTGATAGGCCCCAAAGGGGGACTCCTCTGCGGACCTTCTCCCTGGCTGTCGTTTCTGCTGCCCCCGAGGGGGACAGTCCCCTGGGGCCTTTCCAGATCTTCCTCCTGGCTTTGGCTCCTGTTATCCCCCAAGGGGGCTATCCCCTGGGGTCTTTTTGGATCTTCTTCCTTGCTGTGGTTCCCACTGGCTCCTATGGCTACCATCCCCTGGGGCTTCTCTGGACCTTCTTCCTGGCTGTGGTTCCTGCTGTCGCCCAGGGTAACCAGCTCCTGGGGCCTATCTGGATCTTCTTCTTGGTTGTGTCTCGAACTATCTTCAAGGGAGACCATCCCCCGAGGCTTCTCTGGGCCTTCTTCCTGGCTGTGTCTCGAACTATCTTCAAGGGAGATTATCCCCTGAGGCTCCTCTGGACCTTTTTCCTGGCTGTGGCTTATGATTTCCCCCAAGGGGACTGTACCCTGGAGGACCTCAGGACCTTCTTCTTGGATGTAGCTACTCTGATCCTGTGGTGGGGCCATCTCCTGGAAGCCCACTGCAGCCCATGGGCCAGGTGGGTAAATCTCCAGAGGAGGCATCTGAAGTGGGACCACTGCAGCTTCTGCTCCCATGACTACTGCTGGTGGTAGAGGTGGCATGAATGGAAATCCCACTGGGAACGGTGCGTGGCATGAAACTGGATATGGCACAGGTGTTGGCAGAGGGGGTTGCATGGCCTGGGCCAAGGGACTGGGGGGTCCCGGCACATAAGAAACAGCTGTCGGGGGTGGCATGGGGGCCTCAAAATACAGCCTACCATGCACCCCCATGGTCACATCTCTCTGCTGCTCTGCATTCAAGGGCCATGCTGCGGCCCCGAGCTGCTCGACTGGAGGCCCAGGCACTATTCCAGGGACCAGTGGGGTGAGCGGGACAACCTGGGCTGCCCTCTCGACCTGGAGCAGCCGCCCACGAAGCATATCACACTCATTCTGTGCCTGGTGCAGGGCAGCCCTTGCACAGTGCAGCTGCGCAGCCATCTCCTCACGCTCCTGTCGCAGCTGCTGTAGCTGGGAGGTCAGAGCCCAGAAAGCAGTATCACGCTCCTCTAACTGCACCTGCAGGCGCCGTACGAGGCGCGCTTGCTGCTCCTGCTGCCTCGCGGCCACTCGCACACTCAAGGCCAGCGCGCTCCAGGCGCAGGCCCTCTTGATGGGACTTGGCACCTGCGGGTCGTCCACGACGGCCAGAAGCTGGTCCTCTACCTCATTCCAGGGCCGCGAGCGGAAGGCCATGTAGAAATCCAGACTTCCCCCATTCATGAGGACTTCATTGTTGATGAACTTGATCACCTCGTTGTGGCGGAACCCGCTGGCGTGGTCCCCGTAGTCCATGGCCATGGCCGCCGCGGCCTAGTCAGCGGAGCGCCTCACAGGCGATGCGGCCCCTGGCGCGGCAGGTGAAGGCTGCTGCCGCCGACAGTTCCGACCCCCGCCTCCCTGCTCGGTCCTCCTTCAGTCCTAGCCCAGTCCTGGCCAACTCCTGGGCCTCTTCCCTTCCTCACTCCCTCCTTTTCCTCACAGAGCACGCAGACTCCCTCACCAGGCCAACTCCTGCCGGGCGACGGTGTCCCACGTCACAGAGATGAGCTCTGAGCCACGCGACAGCGTGACACGTCATAGACATGCGCTCTGAGTCACACCGCAAGACCTGCTGGGATGGACGTCCCTTGGCAGAGTGCCCCCTATGGGGCGAACAGGCCAGATGGCTGCACTGGGTGCTGCAGTGAGCCCATAGAAGGCTTTTTATTGTTTCCAACAACTTTGGAAGAATAATATCCAGCATAATGGAAGGAATTCCTAGCTGGGTGGTTGAGTTGCATAGGTAGGTATAGTTCTACTCTTTTCTCAGCTCCATCTCTCATAACTCATAGGTGATACTTCAAACCTCCAATACAGTCACTCATACTGTCTGTGCACTTCCTTCCTCATCCTGCACAGGTGAACTTGGAGTTCCTGTCATCAAGAAAATCCAGTGATTGAGCCATGAATTCCCTGAACTCTCCCTATAAATTCTCTGTCATGTTTACCTAATCGACTCTATTCTCAAAAGCTGTCTTCTTCTTTTGGACTAGGTGCTCCTCTCGTGATCTGGGCTTCCCTACAAGAAATGGCTCAAGGAGTCCTTCAGGCTGCACTAAATAGTAACTGGAATCCACACAAAGAAATAAAGCACACACTAAAGGTAACTACGTACGTAGCTAAATCCAGAAGACAGTATTAATGTATTTTTTAACTCCTCTTTTTTAATATATGATTTAAAAGATGACTGCATAAAACAATACAAATCGATCTTCACAGGCACATAATGTATAAAGATGTAATTTGTGGCAATAACAAAATAAGGGATAGGTGGAGCTATATAGGAGCAATGATTTTGTATACTATTGAAATTAAGTTTGTATTAGTCCAAAATATGCTGTTATAAGTCAATGTGTTAAATGTAATTCCCAGAGCAACCACTAAGAAAATAACTAAAAAATATACAGAAAAGGAAATGAGAGATCAAAATGGTACACTACAAAAAGAGAAATCAATGAAACACAAAAGAAGGCAGTAATGGAGGAATTGGGGTGGGGGGAAATATAAGACATATTAGGAAACAAATAGTAAAATATCAGAAGTCTTTCCTTATCCTTATCAGTAATTATATTAAATGAAACTAGATTAAACTCCAATTAACAGGCAGACATTAGCAGAATGGATAATTTTTTTAAAAACATGATCCAAAAATGTTATCTATAAGAGATTCATTTTAGATTCAAAGATGCAAATTGGTTGAAAGTAAAAAGGTGGGAAAGCCTGTTCTGTGCAAACAGTAAGCAATTGAGAACTAGCATGGCACTCTAAATATCAGAAAAAGTAGACTTTAAGAAAAAAATATTAAGATAAAAAGTAGGGTATTATATAATGTTTAAAAAGGGCCAGTCCGTCAAGAAGATATCAATTATAAATATATGTGCACCCTATGTATGCCTATAACAACAGAGTCTCAAAATACATATCAAAAATAGAATGGAGGGGAGATAGAGGAAGTTCTACAGGAATAGTTGGAGATTTCAATACTCTATTTTCAATAATTGATAGAAAGTCTTGACAGAAAATCAGTAGGGAAATACAAGACTTGAACAACACTCTAAACCAAATAGACCTAATAAACAGCTACAGAACAGTCAACCCCAAAACAGCACACTACGTATTCTTCTCAGGTGTACATGAAAGGTTCTCCAAGATAGATCATATGTTAGGCAACAAAACAAATCTCAATAAATTTATAAAGATTGGAATAATACTAAGCATGTTCTCTGACCACAATGGAATGAAATTGGAAATCTATAATGGAAGGAAATTTGCAAAACATAGAAATATGTGAAAATTAAATACCACTACTAAATTACCATTGGGTCAAAGAAAAATGTCACAAGGAAAATTAGAAAATATGTTGAGAGCAATGAAAACAAAAACACAACATACCAAAACTAATGGAATTCAGTGAAAGCAGTGCTCAGAGGGAAATTTATAGCTGCAAATGCCTATATTTAAAAAAAGGGAAATTATCAGGTTAATAACCTAACTACCTACCTTAAGGAATTAGGAAAAGAGGAGAAAACTAAACCCAAAGCAAGCAGAAGAAACAAAATGATAACAATTATAATGGAGATAAACAAAATAGAGGAGAAAAAAAATAATAGGAAAATAAATGAAATCAAAAGTTGGTTCTTTGGTAAGATCAACAAAATTGACAAACAGATTCTTCAAGAAAAAGAGAAAGATTCAAATTACTAAAATTTGACATTTTATTTTTTGCTTCCAAACTTACAGAAATAAAAAGGATTATAGGAGAATACTATGAATAATTATATGCCAACAGATTAGATATCTAGATGAAATGAACAAATTTCTAGAAACACACAAACTACCAAAATGAATTCAAGAAGAAATAGAAAATCTGAGCAGACCTATAAGAAGTACAGAGTGAATCAGTAGTCAAAAAGACAACCAGAAAAGCCCAGGAACAAACAGCTTCACTGGTGAATTCTACCAAGTATTTAAATAAGAATTAACAGAAATCTTTCTCAGACTCTTCTAAAAATATAA